TGTTCCCATTTCCCTACACAACAAAACTGTGACACGCAACTTAGTGTTTCTCAAACATAAAGAAATAACTTTGAAAATGTGTAAAATATAAACAAGTGTTTTATTTATTGTGCACGTGTATGTTGCTATTTGTGTGGAAATTCTGTATTCGTCTGCATAACTAGGTATTGTAATACATTATAGATACATACATTCACATGTATCTTAACACAAGTCTGACACATTTTGAAGTATTATAGATAACATACCATATCAGAAATCTGTGTGCTTGCCCAAGATTTGACTGTTATTTCTTTCTTGTATAGTTAGTATTCATGTTTACATAAATCATAAAACTACTCATAACAGAAACCTGGGGGAGTAGCAGTGTCTCTCAGCTAGTGTATATGTGTCACTGAAGTCTAGTGATCACATTGTCAATGGATTATATTCTGTAGGCACCCTGTAACTGTGCAGGTGCTGCATACCCTAAGCTGTTTTTACACTTTGCAAGGTCAGGAAACAGTATGAATTGTTCACTGGTCAGCAGTAAACTTTTGACAGAATATTTTATCATACATGCCAGTTAAAACAATCTTAAAAGATGCTATGAAATATAGGCCATAATATCTATAGACACCCATTGTACGTGACACACAACTTGCATGTAAGATTAACTAAATACCTGCCGTGGCCATTTTGTCTTATTGTGAGGGCAAAATCATTTGTGAATTGAAAAAATGATAGAGAACTTATCTTTTATTGGATTTCAGATTTTATTTTTGTAAATAGTAGCATAACATTCAATTATTTGTACAAAATTGTATTATTTAATGAAGTTTAAAGAGGAATTATTAAAAAAATTCCTAAAATACGTTTTAGACTGTAAACAAGCGCTCTCTATGAAGAAAATTTTTTTTAAGATATTTCCTTTCACTTCAGCACTGGTCCTGCTATCTAGGATTGGTATCAAAACTTTTTTCTAGTGTGTTTTGTTTATAAAACTAGGTCTGGGCGTGTTAAATCTCAGTTGTAAAACTTTTAGCCAATCCTAGTCGAGGGTGTCAATTTCAGTACCAATTATTCCAATTGCTGTATCTCACATTTGACAAAGCATAGGATGAAAAGGAAAGCACGTGATGAAACGTTGTTCTCTGGATTTTACAATA